TCATGATTGACGGTCTGTGCCATTGCCCGCAAACCGTCGTATCTGTCGATAATAATACCGAACTTGTCTGCAGTCAACTGAACCATCGCTGAGAACAACTGATTGGGATAACTGTCGCAAAGAGTTTCGTTAAAATACTCGACCATCTCCTCGATGTCGTCTGTGTTGGGCCACAAGTGCTTGGTTTTTGGGAAAACAAATGTCTTATCCGTTAAGTAGTGGTCAGACGAGTAGCCAATAATTATTCTCTTGTTTTTTGCGATCAGTTGGTTGAGCGTCGAGTGGAGACCCATATTCTGTGGCACTAAATAATCCCTCAAATGTTTGGCAATCAGTGAATACACTTTCCGGTGATGTCTTCTAATCAATTGCTGCGATATCTCGTCTTTATTGAAGCCTTTCTCGAACCGATGGAAGTCAATGACCACCACTTCTTTGGGCGCCATATCTATGAAGCGTCTCACCTGAAGAAGTACAGAGTCGAGGGTGTGTTTCATAGGGACGGGTCCGTGGACTAGCCATAGCTTAGACTTATTGCCGGCCACCACATCGTAAGCAACCCTTAGATCTAAAAACCTTAATACAGTTGTGATTATGTGTTTGCATGAACCAAACGACTGCCAAAATACCTGATGCCGTAAACGAGTTGATTGAACACATTCTCGTCCTGACATAACGAGTATTTATTCATAAGTGTATTGTCCTTATGATTGAATCTGTCATAACTGCCGCTATTATGAGTGCCCGGAATCATGAGCTCCAAGAGATTCATGTTTCCAATTGTGTCCAGATTTGTCTCCATCCAAAACGGATTGATTTTCAGACAATTTTCCGCCAATACTTTGTTTGCTTTGATTATAGCGATCCAATACTTGAGACATATTAAGTGAATATTTTTCTTTGAAAACTTTTTGTACGGAAATTGAATTGAAGTTCTGCTTCAATGAAATTATAGTTTACTAACAAATGACAACTTTCTTTGTAATGAATTGACTTTTATTTAACTTTCGAAACATTGTTCACAACTACCTGTGACTTCCAGACGCCTCTCCCTTAATAGCCAACGATTCGATTGAGTAGTTTTTGCCCATTTTTAGCAGTGTTTCTTCATTGGGTTTCTCACCAAACAGTCCGATCCATATGTCGTCCCCAACGGGAACTCGTCTCCAATTCAGCTCTAATTGTCTCTCAAATGTTTGGTTCAGTTTTTTATTGAATTCGGCCAAAGAAGACACTGTAAGCCATACTTCCCCTCCAGAGCTCACTATTCATTTCAGATATTTTAAAATTATTTACTTTTAAAAATATATTCAATTGAAATTTTATGACAATATTATTATATCACTTACTTTTAGCAGTTTTATTATCAGGTTTTTTGCTTTCTATTAATATATTAGTTATCGAAAGCAATAGAATTGCTATATTTTTAAATTTATTATAAGTTTTCATTGTTTTTAAAACTATGCATTCAAGTAATTGCAAACTGAATATTACTGTATTACAAATTTGAAACAAACACAAAACAAATTTGAAAGTAAATGAAAGTGTTGTAGAATTCTTAGAATAGTTAGTGAGATAAATAAGATATAATTAATTTAAAAGTGAAAATATAAATATAAAATATTGGGTCAGTTATAAAGTGATATTAGAGAGCAATGTGACTGACCTTAACTTGTGAATCAAGTATTTCGACTCAATTTATTGCCAAAAACACAATCATTATAATAGCTATACGTTTACGTCTTTAATAAAAATACATTTATAACTTTTAATTGAGTGGAGAGAGAGAGAGAGAGAGAGAGAGAG